AAAACGTTGCTTCATACCCAGAACCTCTCAAACTTCAAAGATTACCCCAGCATCTTCTGAATCATTTTGCTCTCAATAAAAGTGCTTGCAAATTAGATCTCATCTGAGGTAATGGGACGTGTGCTCAATGTTCACATCGATCCTCTGATCCGATGAAGTTTACATCTCCTTTCCCTTGCCGAGAGCTAAGTCGTTATTTAGTTTCTAATTGATTGAATTTTAGTTCGATGCTGTTTTTTCTCACTCCAGAAACCAGAGCATGGCTTGAGGTTTCTGACGTCAACTATGCCCGAAAGCGCTCTATGCGGCCAACCGTTCCCAAGCTTCTGCTAGCATTATGTACTATTTCAAATCCTTGGTTGGTTTTGGCGTGTCCAGCCCGACGTCTACTGAGTTTGCGAGAAGTGTTTTTATAGAAACGTTATCTTAACCTGTCCTGAGTCTTGATCCAGCCCACGTCACTTGCTCTGAGGATACCTAGGAACTACGGGTTAATTCAAGAATGTAACACTTCGTGCGATTTTGAACTATACACAGAGTTCCCTCAGACCCTCAGATCTGGTCGGTCTGCTCCCTACAAATCTGTAATGTTATTGTCCGTCCTATATAATCCCTCAAGGCTCTACATTTTTACGGTGGGAGTAAATACACATTCAAGTTGTTTCGCGTGTTTTTGAACTACTATATCGCATAAATAAATTGCATTTAAATAAATTAGCAACGTAATGAAATAATGGTTGATTTAATTAAGATGAAGTTTTTTTCTCGTCTAGTAAATTTATAAAGATGTTTGGCGTCTAATGAGTTTGTCTAGAGAGGTGGGGACATGTGGCAGAAAGTGCAAAATTAACAGCGTCACTTTATCCACTACTATAAAGAAGCAATTACTCGTTAAAAAATAACCTTTAAGTACTGACTATAATAAAAGTGCAGAAAACGGAACAATAAATTCGTGGTTATAGTGCTATTTCATGGAAGTCACTTGATAATGTAGTTTCAGACTGACTAAAAACGATCTGAAAGCCTGCTATAAGTGGAAAATCAGCAACGTGAATAGTAACCGCTGCCAAGAGTGGATGCCTAGCGAGTACGATAAGTTTCTGAGTTGGTTCTATCCCTTTCGGCCCTGTACATGCTTCATGCATAAGATCGAAGAACCGAGGTAACAGTTATCACGAGCAGGCTTGATTTGGCTCTGGCCGACTACCCAAGGTAAAATTACGGGGTCTCGTCAGCTGTTTGTGGAGTATCGCGCGGTGGCAAAGAACCAAATGATGTAGAACCCCGAGTCACGCAGGCAGAAGGGTGGTGAAGTGACCAAGAATGATTCGCCAAGCCATGAAACGATCCAACAGGAGACCGCACATACTATTACGTTTGTGGACTATTTTCGTTGTAATCAAGAGGGTATAAAAGGCGATAGCGGTCCGTTCTCCATCCAGTGTCCTTGTTGCGGGATCTGAGCTCATAAACCTTCGGAAGAATTTTTTGATCACCTCAAGCGCGAGCAATGGCGACGTAACGCACGCCCAGTGTTCATAGTTTTGGTAATCTGGAAAGCCCTGATCTTGCTCGCTAAAGAGCTTTCCATTCTAAGCGCATCCATTGTACGAACTCTAATGGGTCAGTGCTAGCGAGAGTGCATGAATGTCCTGCAGGTTTGACTATCGCTGAGAGCCTTTGATACCACTATTGCGCAAATCTTCACCCCACGTGGCCCTTTTTACAGGTTGTTCCCATCTCAAATTCATCCAGGATCCAGCGATAGCCATTGGATGTGGGTACTTCCTGCTCGTTGTTGTTAAAAGTTTGAATACCTCCAATGGCCACCGTGAATCTCAAGCAATTTCGTGCATCCTATATGAATCACAAACGAGTAGAAAAGAGGTTATCTTAGCCATTTACCTATGAACAAAGGGAAAACGGGCAGAAATGTGACATTTTAAATCTAAAAACTAAGCAAACTAATTAATCGAATCAATGATTTCAAGAATCAAGAATGGTACAAGTGATGGTAATGATCAATGAAATCGATATACGGTGAGGACTTACAAAGTTTATGTGGATGGCGTCGACAATTCAAATACCAGCAATAGATGTTCTTTCGACATCGTAGCGATAATTCGCGATGATTCCCATTCAGCAGTTTTGAGATGTACGGTTGCGATACGCCTAAAATTACGCGACTTCATGGATCTACCGTAATCTATCTCTGTGTAACCTTGCGTTACGCATACACGACGTTGAGAGAATCGCGGCGCCACTCGATAGCGATATACGGTATCGTGTGTGTGTATATGCTGTAGCGCGGGGAAAGAACGGCGCTTTTTTTGCGTGTCGTTCAATTATCTCGCCATTAAGGATCTGACCATGTCGCTAAAACGCTGTCGTGCATTCGGGTAAACGTGGTTTATTCATGACTTACCGGTCATCATAGCGACGGTGGTCTGACGAAGTGAGTACTGCGTGATGAACTGCTTCATGTCGGCTATACAAGCCTCTTCACCTTGTTCCATGAACTCATCCAGCTCTTCGGGTCTGTCCAACGTGGTGATCTCCTTCATCGGAGTGCGCAAGCTTCGAATCGGCCGACCACCGGCGTTGTTCTCGTATCGAGGCAGTGTGGCTGGAGGTGCCGTGCTGGGGATCGCAGCCGCCTCGGAGACATTGACGGAAGCATCTGGAGTTCTAGGACGTGGTCGGTTCCGACGCAGCGGAAGCGGCTGGCACTGTCTGGACACTGAGGCGTTCCGGTGAGGTGCTAACCTCAGGGCGGTGTCGCGGATATCGTGATGGGCACTGGTGGTTGCGCCTGCAGGGCTTGCAGAAGCATCGGACTAGGTGAGTCGGGGTTTGACTGCTGCGCATCTATTGTCGTCATCAGATTGAACAATAGCGACGACGGTTGTGGAGGTGGTTGATCCAACGAATTATCAACTTGTTCGAGCTGTCGAAATGCCTGAAAATACACATAGTTGCTTTATTTATATTTATACGTCCACAAATAATGCTGATTACTTTTCCAAGGGTAACTAAGATTTAAACCGCTACCGGCTATTGTTTGCTTTGATGCCCAACCAAAAAAGTATAGGAACGTTTCCAATGAAATGTGTATGTTGTCACTGCCGGACAACCGCCGTAGGACAGGTCCCCACCACACTTCAGGAGTTCCCTCAATTCTCCAAACAAGAAAGCTGGTGACAATCGCATAGCACCTCGCGCGGCTGGCGGCAGGCTACGGTAGGAGACTGGGCCGGTATGCGCGCCGAATACCTTAGAGATCTACTGATCTAATTTGGCTATATTCTGTCCGTGGACGACCGAAAGTGCACTTTTCGAGGTCATTGGCGTCGTTGTCCCATCATCATAGTGTTCATTGAACATATATGCAGCTAGGCACACTTGTATACGTGAACAGGCAGAAAGTACACCTGTGGCGCATGCTTGCTATTGGACGAGTTATTGCTACTCGTCCACTATTAAGAGTAATATTGTCGTATTGGGGATCCTGCTGGGGCCGATCACTTGAAAGAGCACTGTTTTTGAATGTTGTATTTCGCGCTGGTGATGTTTAATGCAGCCCATGAGTCCTACCACGAACACTGTTCATTGGTGTCAACGTACGTAAACGTGCAGGCGCGGTGTGATGTTACGTTTTACGACAATGCACACACACACGCAACGAATCAGTCACATAATATCTTAGAGGTATTGACAGTGAAGAGAATAAGAGACGAGATACTGAAAAACTCGGACCAGACGAGTTCATCGTGCGAGCGTGTGTGGAACGTCGAGTATGACCGGAAAAAGTTGATAGCGCTTTGTCTGTTCTGCAGTACGCACACACACATCCCACCACCGTCGTCAATGATTGAAGGCCAACGTGGTGGTGATGGGGAGAGAGTTAAGAGGCACCCCTTCGAAAAAACCACCGAACTAGACGAGATGCGGCGACAGTTGCACGACGATGGCAAAAGAATTTCTGCAACGTTTACAGTAGCAGACAACTCTGCACGGGACCACTGAGTTCATTGGAAGTTGACTAGCACTAAAATGAACGGTGTTCCACATCAGCTCTGAGTTTTTCTCGTCCATGGAAACTTTCAAGCTTCCTATTAGACTGGTTAATGAGGCCACTGAAGCTATACCGATCACTGGACGTGTTCGTCTTAGTGCGTCCTTGTAAGGGTTCTAGGTCCATCTTGATACACTGGTGCTCTGTTTACCTTTTCAGAGCTCGGAGCTCATAGCTCGGTGAGTCAGTAACTGCGGACTTTTTTAGTTGTAGGGAAACAGTTATGGTTTTGAATATGCAATAGTTAGTGCTTTTTGTTTTGTTCGCTCCAAGAGCATCTGTGGATCAAAACCTCATGTGAATTACCTCTTCGGAGCACTAGATAGATCATTTTTCTAAGTACTGCAGAATAGTATCAATAAAGTTTACAGGCGAGGACATATTGTAGCTCTGCCGATAAAGTGAATCACTGTCCAGACCAACCCTCTGACCATAGTGGAAAATTTTTAGTGGATTCTAGCGATATAGTGTGAGGTGAAGAGGGTTGGGTAAGGAGAAGGGTAACAGTAGGGGTGGGAACCCTTGTTTTCCTCTCTACCCCAGGCTCAATCCATTTCGAGCTTCTTCTAAATCTTATGTTATTAGAATTTTAAGAAAAGTACACAGCATGAACTTTTTGGGATTTGAAAAGAATCACAAAGTATGTCCAAGTGGCTGTTTGAATGTGAGCAAATAGAAAAATTGAAATGTCAGGAAAAAAATGCAAGAGAATCGGCTATGAGTCACCTCGGCGACTTGTGCTGGCGAAATGCCGGTACTGCGTAACCGTCGAATAAGCTCCAACTGTTCCACAGTAAAAAGAATCATCTGAAAAAATGAAAAATACGGTAGTCACGTGCGAGGGTAAGTCGTGGCGTGGGTAACGATCGTGTTAGCGTATGCGTGATGTGAGCTCAAGAGGTTTTGAGTTAAGACTCCAATGGAGGCCAAGTCAGGAGGCTACGGTGACCCGAGGGTGGCGGCTGTGGGTGATGGTGGTGGTCGTGGTTGCGGCCCAGGCAATAACTATGCTTGGGGGTGGGGAGAGCTGCGACGGTGTTCGAATAGGAGGCGGAGTCAACGATCGGGGTCAACGCGATGAGAGATAACACCAGAGAACGTATAGTATTCGCGAGAAAAGGACACCTGCACTCTTCGCAAGTGAGGCGGAGTCACGCGGCAGGCGACGTCGCGAAGCGGCTACCGCGAAGAAAAAAGTCACTCGTTCGCTCATCTTCGGTTAGCCGATGAACAAACGATATGAATAAGCACTGGCAGTCAGTCAGTCAGCTAGTCAGTCAAAATGTATAGTATTTGTCGAAAGTGCACGGATTGCGCACTGTTTACGAAAGGGGCGTGGCCGAGTGGAGGTGACGGGCACGGTTGTCACACCGGCACAGTTCTGTGTGGCGCAACCGCTTAGCCCCTTGGCGACTGGTAGGGTGGTTACCGGTGACGTGTTGTCAGCCGTTTTAAACCATGCGAATGGTTAACGGGTCAACTACGGTAAAGCAAGTGAGAACTTGGTGGAGCAGGACGGATCCTGCTCGTGGATTTCCTTGTCCGAACACGTCAAAATTAGTGGCATAGGAATTGTAAACGTTTTACACGCCACGTTCACATGTTTAACGCGCCGGCAAACATGTCAGTGTGATAATCAAATCAGTGACTTCATCCAGGCTGAGTCAACGCATCAGCTGTGGGGGCATAGTAATCGTGGCATAAAGAGGTGTTACTCATAAAAACCTCGAAAAGTAAAACTATTGGCGCTCATGTCCTAAGGGGGGACATCCGAAACAGGGCATTTACCGCGATGGGGTAACACTAGACTGAGCCCAGAAGAGAGTGGGAACGCCAGGATTAACAAAAAATGCTCACATTCGCCTCAGAATCTCTTACGCTCCTTAAGGTTAGTTGCGATTACTGTAAGTGACTCACTCACGCTAATGTTCCCCCTAGCGACTGAGCGCCAAGCTTTCAGAAGGAACCGTGGCGCTATCGCATGAAGCGGGGGCATCCTGTGGGAATATGCCTAGGGATGGACAGGATATTTAGGGAAATTGAAAGTTTCCGCGGATTCTGGAATCTGTGCTCCCTCGCCTGAGGCATAGCCACGTTTTCAACAAAAAGGAGATTTTCACGCGATTCAGATGAATCACAATGCCTCCGTATCTTGCAATAACGCCGGAATCTTTGCAGCAACTCGCGGAGACCGCAAAGTCCTGGACCTCTCAATGAATGATGCTCTTGCGCAAGAAATATGGGATGTGGCGCAAACTCTCTCAACAGTCTTTTGCGTGGAATCACCTCAGTAAACGGTCGTTTATGAGGAAGTATTTGCTTGCTTTCAAACTGTCGCTTCGTCGAATTTTAATCTGTTCCCGACGCTTGCTGGCGCTATGCGTGTGTGCCAGAGAAGAAACGAGGGGGCAAAAGCCGGTCTCAGCTCCTGTCGCGAGGATGACCTCGGAAGTCAGGTCATGTTTGCCTTTCTCCAAGCGTGAACCCCCCTGTTTCCTTCTCACTGAGTTTGCTGTGTATTTTCATGAAAACTCGAAGAGAAAACATTTGCGAAAAAAGTGGCCATCCACAGATCACAAAAACCGTGGCTTGGAAATTTCACGCCTACTTCTCAGTGGAGCGGCAATTTTCGACGAATAAACGTGCATAATATGCAAATAACTGCTAAATTGTTAAATTTAAGGACCAAGTGGTACAAATTCATGACCCGATTCTCAATATAACATGGATTCTGGTGTCAGGAACGTTTAACGATGTAATTTCAATTGTTATTTGGAACAAAAACGTCTCCTCTGTGACGCGCTGCCGATTGTAGTATTTCTTCTAAATGTCTGAATATACCCGTGTATACTCTTAGCAAATGAAATATCATATCTTCCCAGGACCTCGATGACAGGTTTTTTTTTGACAAACTTCTAACAAGTTTCATATAAGCTTTGTCTTCATTCTTCAAAATTTCTATTTGATGAATGACTCACCAATGATTCACATGCGTCGAGCCTCCTCTCCCTGAATATAGCCGCTACCCTTTCTCAGGGTTCCAGAGTTATTATTTCGCACTGTTGAAAGATGTCACCTGCAGCCTCCACTCCCACAGGCAGAATTGATCGGGTTACGTTTACAACTTACGAACGCAAGTTTGCCAAAAATTCATACATTGTAGTCAGCTATTTTCGGAATTTAGCGCTGAACGTAATGGCACGCCAAGTCGTCGAATAGCATGGAGAGAGTTGACCGCATCAGACAATGACAGGTGGTAGACGGGACATACAGTTGCGACACTCATGATACTGATCGCTCAGCATAATCCATTCATTCTCCCTTTCACTTGAATACCACCACCTACAATTTGGAAAACGCAGTTCACCTGAGAACTTCTCCCTGGGACAAGTCGAGTGTCCGGCCGGGATGAGCCCTTTAAACTGCACCTCTGGAACGCATCCCCCTGTTCTTGTGCGCTCGTCAAGAAACTTCGGCACGGAAAGTGGTCGGAGACGCAGAGAGGTCAGTGCACAAGTTTTCGTGCCTAGTCTAACGTCCATTCTAAAGGTGGGGCTGTATCAGACTTTGCGAACCCATCGATTCGCTAGCGAACGCGCGGGTACGAGCGTTGCACCAGCGGATCAAACTATGTACCAGCGGAACATTTGCATTCGCTCGTAGAACCAATGAAGCCTTGGATAAGGGCACGATTGCAGAGAAGGCCATTTGAAGGCATCTCTTGACTACGCATTTCTTTTCGTTTTTTTTTTTTTGGTTTTTTTAATAAGTATGAGTGGAATGCAAACGGCAGCTAATTGTTTCTATTGGCAATTGGCCGAAAGGGTTAAACATATGCCACTCGATTCACACATATAAGCCAGTACTGCAGCTAGTACGGCTCGGTTCTTCTATGTATTTGTTATTTCTCTAGCAAATTAATGATTTGAGAATGTTACGGTAAGGATTATTAAGGTATTCGAAAGCAGGATCAAGCGTGCGTTGAGGATTCCTCGAGTCGTATTGGCCCGCTGGGAGGAAGAGATCGGCGCCGTTGATGCAGTAGGATTATCGCTGTCGGAGGACAAACATCAAGGATCGAAATCGATGCCATGGAAGGCCAGGGGGTTCCCAATAATACTGTTTTTCCGCCCACATGAAATTTTCATGGTTTAAAGGGTTCGCGTAGTGATTTTCGGTTACTTCAGTGTTTCATCACGACAATAGTTGAAGGATCCGAAATTCACACGTCTTCAAGGGGTATCTTATCTTATATGTGAGTTCTGGAATCTGAAAGGATATGACGCACACGGCGCATCCCAGACTGGGCCCAGTTGGTTGCGCGCGCTTCAACTGCGGCTCTCTATAGGAAGGATCTAAATCAGGCGGAATCAAGAGGGATCCTTAAAGTGTCCGTGTGAAAGTATCGCAGCGAGAAGTTCACCATTCACCAAGAAACGTAGTCTTCAAATTCGTAAGCATGTAATCCTTAAAACTGGGAAACGCAGAACAGTTTTACACTTTTTTGGGAAGAGACGTGCAGGAGATTCCGTATCTTCTCTTACTTAGTAATAATTCGCTCATGAACAGGAGCTAATCTGTGTTTGGAACATAGTGCGCATCAGGCAAAAATTGTCTTCGCCGGTACTCCGTCCGGCAAAAATCTCTCATCGGGACTTTTTTAAATGACGTATTCAGAAGTCTTCAGTGACGCGATTAAGCAAATCTAGATCTCTCTAGTTTTACGATAACGTATTATACTTTCGGATTGGATGATTTGAACGGAGTTATGGCTTTAGGAATTGAAAAACTTCCACTCATCACAAATTTTCTTAATTTTGCAAAAATCCTTAACGTGGCCTTTTTTAATACTGGACGTATAAAGACGACTTAGTGATGACCATGAACTTTATATTGGGGTCCTGTAAATTCAGGTTGAGGAGTGTCCTTTTCAACTCTGTTGACGAGGAGCCAATAATAAAAACGTACAAAATGTATGTACAAAAAAAAAACAAAAATGTAAATGTACAAAAACTACATCGATGGCGCTCCTCCTTAACAGAGTTGGAAAGAACACTCCTCAACCTAATTTCACAGGATCCCAATATAAAGTTCACGGTTGAGGAACCAAATGAGGAGGGATTTCTCCCTTTCCTCAATACAAAGTTAGAATCGAGAATGGAGCCAAACAGCTTTCTTGGTATAAGAAGCCAGCGTCAAAAAATGTACTATTACACTGCCAGAAGCTGCCACCCCTCCTATATGAAAGCGAACGTAGTTCGCAATTTGTTAAAAACAAAAGAAAAAGTATGCACACAAAGATGGGAAGAAGTAGATGTCGCGGTGGACCGAATCCTGAGGGACAATGGCTACGAAAATACACATGTTGGCACATGGAGACCACATGCAACACCATGGTGTTGGTGATGGATGGTGTTCCCATGATAATGCCGTATCAGAACGGCACAAAAAGTCAACAGTGTGGTCAAAAAGTCAAAGCTCCCCATACGCCTTATATTTCGTCCACCGCCTAATCTCAAACATCTACTCACTTATTCAAGACCATATGAAGAAAAATGTGGAAGAAGAAGTTGTGCATACTGTAACGCAATAAAATTTGCCAATTGAGGGGCACCGTTTATTTAATAGAATGTCAAGGATGCGGCCAAAAATATGTTGGAGAATCAAAAAGGCCTCTTTACAAGCGCTTGGATGAGCACAGAAGAGCGTTACAAAACCCAGCCTCTTATCCAAATAACAGCTTTTCCAAGTACCCGCACCAATAAACGCGCCTATGGAGAGCTCCCCCCCCCTCACGTTAACCATTA